TGATACGATAAGCATGTATCTGCTGGCTGTTACAGGTTCTTTCATGCCTTTTTACCCTTTTCCCTTGCTACAAGGTAAACAAGCAAACACAAAGCTAACAGGATTGTCCCTCGAGAAATGCCTGCATACAAAGTGATGATAGGTGTCAGCACTGATTTCAGAAGGGTTTGTGTTCAGATCCCACCCCGCCTTCCCGATCCCTGCCAATGCCTCTGAGCTACAACCACCGTGCTGCGGTGCTGTGTTACATTCAGCTCAAGGGAAGCAAAAAAAAAAAAAAAGGATTACAGAGGAGTATTTACATTTTTGCAAGTGAAGCAAGTATAGTGCTCTGTAAAAGTAACAAGAGTTGAAGCTTGAAATACCACCTATAAATGAGCAGTGACGGTTTTTAAAATGGTTTAGATTAATAAGAGAGGAATGTGTTTGACTAGGGTATTCTTATAATAAGCCCTGCCGAGCTTTACATATTTTATGTTGTTCTTAGTGTTGATGAGATTCAGAGATGGAATATGTGAAGCCACTTGCTGCCCAGGCAGACACTGGGAGATGGAACAAACCAAACAATTCCCTGAAAAGACCACATGGTGTGCTTAACCCCTGACCTGGTTTGCATGCGTTCTGGCCTGTCAGCTTTGTCCTTCTTCTCCGTGGCATTTACCAGAAAACAAACAGCCACGGATGGCATCCTCAAAATTAAATGTTGACTCTCTCCACAACTGACAATTTACCTCAAGTTTGCTTCTGACAGCAGGAGATGGTGAATAAACATGGAGAGCTCTGTAAGAGAGGCAGCACATGCACGCTGTGGCTTGAGGACATAACCAGTGCAATCATCGTACCCCTAACGTGGCATCCATCAGCTTGCTGATGGATTCCATTAATAAAAGACCTTTGGTGTTGTATCCTCTGTTCAGCGTGTAGTCCTTCAGCACCACCAATGTAATATTGACCTAATCATTTTCCACCCCCGCAGCGCTGGTTTGGAATCTGAAATACCATTGTTATATATCCTGTATTGAGATGTTGACATTTATAGATATATTGATATATATATTCAACAATAATACTGTCTTATTACACTATAATATTAAAAGAAATGCTGTACAATAGTCATTGCTCTATGTATTAATCAGCAAAGACCCAGTACCTAATTGGAAAAAACTGTATATAATAGTCACACATTCATTTATTTCTTTGAGAGTAAACAATGAAAACATAAATAAACTGGTCAAATAATCTTTCTCATCCCTGAGAGTTAGCTGCTAAACTGCAGCAAACAAAGTACTAAAGGTGCACAACACCACTTTAACACACAAAGTTCATTTTACTTGACAAAGTGAGCACTAGTACACCTTGGCTAAGCTTAACCACAAACTTGTTTCAGTTTAGAAAATACGTGGTCCTCCTTTGATACTCTCTATACGATGTCACTTAACTTCCTCCTTTGCTTGTGTCATAATTACTGTGGTTGTTAGAGGTTGCCTAACTATCACACTTCGCTGTTGTTATAATAGATTGCTGGCACAAACAATATATACAGTATATTCATTTTTTACAGGAGAACAAGTTTAGGAAAACATTTGTGTAATACGGTGTCTTCTGTGGTGTGAGAAAGTAAACCTGGGGATGAAGGCACGGGATTTAATGAAAGGTGCTGTTGAGTGGCACTATGGGAAATGTAGGATCCAGTATTTTTGGAGCTTGAGCTATGTCTGAGTAAAAGTCAGAGTGTCTGTCTCTGCAGCATCAATTTTCACAATTCCTGTTAAAATCGATTCCTTGTGAGTCACGTCATCCAGCTTTATGGAAGAGCAATAATACATCCTGAAAGGAAAGAACCCTTTTAAGTTTGCAGTGTTTACACTGTCATCACTGATAATTTTACTTGACACATAAAAGATCTGGCTGGAGAGACGGATGCAATGGATGTCGCTTCCTTACTGATATTATTGGTCTGATTGACACAATTCTGATTTTAATGCCTGAACAAACTTTGAGTGTTTTTTTCTTTACACTTTGTTCAGACATTGCTTTTTGAGCTGGGATCTTAAAGTTATCTTTACACTTGTTACTTGTTCTTCTGAGATTAAAACTATGACAGAAACTGAGGGTTGACTGATATCGCTTGTCTGTCTTCATTGTTGAGCTGTTTCTGTTTGTGAAACAGTATAACGTCTCCTGTTAGTATTTTTTCCTGTTCTAGTTAATCCAGGAAGCAAAACTCTAGTGGTCAACCACATGCTTTGATAATAGATGGATGGATATGAATTTGTAAGCTGCTAGTTTTAAAAATGGTTTATTTGGACAATAAAAACAACAGATTTGACGTTGTGGCTGCTGGTACATGACACCAACTCTTGTTATTTATCGTCAAAGGAAAAAAAACAATTATTTTTATCAGTAATGCATAAGCATCTGTTTGCTGCTGCTGCTAATGACAGTAAGAGACAGTTGAAAACAGCTGAACGATGTTATGGTAGTCAGTGTTTCAGCCAAGAACTCCTCCGTAAATGTTTAAAATATGACTACACACCATTTGAAAAACTCTTATTTTGACCTTGGCTATGTGGCAGGCAGGGCTAATGTCTGGACACAAGGTAGAGAAGCTGGAATAACAACAGAAGGCAGCAGAGTGTCATGTAGAGGGGGTTGTAGCTGAAAGACACCACATTTACAAACGTTTATCAGACTGTGTAAAATCCTAATTAGTGCACCTTTAAAGTTTAGCATCACCGCTAAAATATCTAAGTGATTTTTCTTCGTTATGTTATTTATTTCCCACCCTCATTTCGATTTCTCTTTTCTCCAACAGCTACACTCAGATGTGGACAAAGGAGACGGCAAGGTCAAGTATGTTTTATCTGGCGAGGGTGCCAGCTCCATCTTCACTATCGATGAAAACACGGGAGATATCCACGCCACAAAGCGCCTCGATCGGGAGGCTCAGGCCTACTACACCCTTCAAGCTCAAGCTGTAGACCGACTCACCAATTTACCTGTCGAGCCCAAGTCGGAGTTTGTGGTCAAGGTCCAGGACATCAACGATAATGAGCCTAAGTTTCTTGATGGGCCGTACTTGGCAGGGGTGCCAGAGATGTCACCCTTAGGTAAGCCCCCTCATTTGTTTTAAATACAATCTCACAGCAGGTCCTTTCCCTTTATCCCTCTTTTCAGCTGTCTCCCATACTCCAGCTTTCTCTTTGACTTGCCCCCACTCCAACATCTGCAGTTGATAATTTTCCACCTCACTGAATTTGTCTTCATCTCTCTCAAGTCTTTAGGTCACAAGGGGAATTGGGAAGTTTGCAATATTAATTTAAACCCAGCGTGTTCACTCTGTAAGACTCAATACGTGCTGATCACTTTGGGCCCAATTTAAACTGCATGAACTTCTTCTGCATGGGCTCTACATCAGTTGAGGTCCAGGATAAACTACTTGGATTTTGGCATCAGCTCCTTAAATAAGCTCATGGACATTTCTCCTCTTGAGGTTTTAAATATTGTCAATTTAGTTTCTGAATACATGATGATGTACAAAAATTAAACCACCAAGACAGCTTTGGAACTTTTGACAAAGAAATGTACTCATGTAGCACATTTACTAATTCAAAGAAATCCACAAGATATACTGAAAGTAAAATAATGGGATTTGTTAGAGGTTGCCTAACTATCACACTTCGCTGTTGTTATAATAGATTGCTGGCACAAACAATATATACAGTATATTCATTTTTTACAGGAGAACAAGTTTAGGAAAACATTTGTGTAATACGGTGTCTTCTGTGGTGTGAGAAAGTAAACCTGGGGATGAAGGCACGGGATTTAATGAAAGGTGCTGTTGAGTGGCACTATGGGAAATGTAGGATCCAGTATTTTTGGAGCTTGAGCTATGTCTGAGTAAAAGTCAGAGTGTCTGTCTCTGCAGCATCAATTTTCACAATTCCTGTTAAAATCGATTCCTTGTGAGTCACGTCATCCAGCTTTATGGAAGAGCAATAATACATCCTGAAAGGAAAGAACCCTTTTAAGTTTGCAGTGTTTACACTGTCATCACTGATAATTTTACTTGACACATAAAAGATCTGGCTGGAGAGACGGATGCAATGGATGTCGCTTCCTTACTGATATTATTGGTCTGATTGACACAATTCTGATTTTAATGCCTGAACAAACTTTGAGTGTTTTTTTCTTTACGCTTTGTTCAGACATTGCTTTTTGAGCTGGGATCTTAAAGTTATCTTTACACTTGTTACTTGTTCTTCTGAGATTAAAACTATGACAGAAACTGAGGGTTGACTGATATCGCTTGTCTGTCTTCATTGTTGAGCTGTTTCTGTTTGTGAAACAGTATAACGTCTCCTGTTAGTTTTTTTTCCTGTTCTAGTTAATCCAGGAAGCAAAACTCTAGTGGTCAACCACATGCTTTGATAATAGATGGATGGATATGAATTTGTAAGCTGCTAGTTTTAAAAATGGTTTATTTGGACAATAAAAACAACAGATTTGACGTTGTGGCTGCTGGTACATGACACCAACTCTTGTTATTTATCGTCAAAGGAAAAAAAACAATTATTTTTATCAGTAATGCATAAGCATCTGTTTGCTGCTGCTGCTAATGACAGTAAGAGACAGTTGAAAACAGCTGAACGATGTTATGGTAGTCAGTGTTTCAGCCAAGAACTCCTCCGTAAATGTTTAAAATATGACTACACACCATTTGAAAAACTCTTATTTTGACCTTGGCTATGTGGCAGGCAGGGCTAATGTCTGGACACAAGGTAGAGAAGCTGGAATAACAACAGAAGGCAGCAGAGTGTCATGTAGAGGGGGTTGTAGCTGAAAGACACCACATTTACAAACGTTTATCAGACTGTGTAAAATCCTAATTAGTGCACCTTTAAAGTTTAGCATCACTGCTAAAATATCTAAGTGATTTTTCTTCGTTATGTTATTTATTTCCCACCCTCATGTCATTTTCTCTTTTCTCCAACAGCTACACTCAGATGTGGACAAAGGAGACGGCAAGGTCAAGTATGTTTTATCTGGCGAGGGTGCCAGCTCCATCTTCACTATCGATGAAAACACGGGAGATATCCACGCCACAAAGCGCCTCGATCGGGAGGCTCAGGCCTACTACACCCTTCAAGCTCAAGCTGTAGACCGACTCACCAATTTACCTGTCGAGCCCAAGTCGGAGTTTGTGGTCAAGGTCCAGGACATCAACGATAATGAGCCTAAGTTTCTTGATGGGCCGTACTTGGCAGGGGTGCCAGAGATGTCACCCTTAGGTAAGCCCCCTCATTTGTTTTAAATACAATCTCACAGCAGGTCCTTTCCCTTTATCCCTCTTTTCAGCTGTCTCCCATACTCCAGCTTTCTCTTTGACTTGCCCCCACTCCAACATCTGCAGTTGATAATTTTCCACCTCACTGAATTTGTCTTCATCTCTCTCAAGTCTTTAGGTCACAAGGGGAATTGGGAAGTTTGCAATATTAATTTAAACCCAGCGTGTTCACTCTGTAAGACTCAATACGTGCTGATCACTTTGGGCCCAATTTAAACTGCATGAACTTCTTCTGCATGGGCTCTACATCAGTTGAGGTCCAGGATAAACTACTTGGATTTTGGCATCAGCTCCTTAAATAAGCTCATGGACATTTCTCCTCTTGAGGTTTTAAATATTGTCAATTTAGTTTCTGAATACATGATGATGTACAAAAATTAAACCACCAAGACAGCTTTGGAACTTTTGACAAAGAAATGTACTCATGTAGCACATTTACTAATTCAAAGAAATCCACAAGATATACTGAAAGTAAAATAATGGGAAAAAATAAAACAAAAAGAAATACAGTATCCGAAAGTGTAAGAGACAGAGCCACACCAGTATCATGGCTATAAACATTATAAACTGTAATATAGTTGTTGTATAAGTACTCAGTGGTTCACATTTCGTTGATTACATTTGCATTTATTACTGCATATATTTATTTTTGTGTATTTTCCTGGAGAGATCCATAATGTCAGACCTTGTCTTTAACCGGCTGCATGGTCAAGATTTCCTCCAAGGTTTTGAACGGGTCACGCTCAAGCTCAAAATGCGAGTGAATGCAAATGAGCAACAACATCCTGAGGCCATTCAACTTAGCAGGTGTATGAGGAACACAGCTGGAGTGAGAGAGAGTGACCTCCATATTGATAAGTCATGGTCTGTGTGCTCTTTATATGAAACTTCATAAGGCAATTACAATATGTCGTCGGTTTACCAGTGCAGCTTTAGGTTGTTTTTGAATGTTTCTGACTTTTGAACTTAAATTTGATATTTTGTTCAATAAGAAATGGGTGGCACTGAGCATACGCTGCTGGTGTCTCATGGTGTTTTAGTCAGCCATACTCAGTGTATTGTAGTGTGAATTCTGCTGTGCCCCAATTTACATGTTTATCACCTCACATATGCCGGCACGGACCTGTAGGCTTAGAAGTTTTGACGCATGTTTAAAAACTGACTCGAGCAAACTTTCTGTTTGAATAAAGCATGCAGGCCAAAGGCATTCTTTCCACAAATTAGGCTCAGAGTTCATGCTAGCCAGTATTCTCAGGAAAATGTGTCTGAAAAATGTCTGATACAAACAAATACATTTCTAGCCATCCATTATCTTGCCACCTCACAGTGCAGTAAGCAGCACAGCACAGAGATCCTTAATTTCCTCCAGCTCCTCCTAAGGGTTCCCAAGGCAGTCCAAGGCATGATGGGAGCTGTGGTCTAATCACAGGTGAGCTCTGACTGATGGGTTGGAGACAGAAATAAACGTGGAAAGAGAACAGTGTTAAGGATTTTGCATTTGATTTTAAATAGGTTTGAGATCATTTTAAACCCACAGATTATAACTTAAGACTTATTTTCTGTTGAGGTGTTTCTGATGCTTATTAATAGTAGACATTTATGAAAATGTCTAAGTGATGCGCTTTTCCAGCAAAATGCAATTACAAAATGCGTGCTCATTCTGTGAGGAAAGTAAATAAGAAAATCTTAGATATTTGATATCAAACCTGTGCGTAAATAAAAATTAATTTGTTCTGCACTCCAATTTACAGTCTGAAATCATTATTGGACCTGGCAGCCAGTTCTCTCACAGTGTTGAAAGGTTTAGAAGTAGAGGCTGATTAGTTATTCAATTTATATCAAATTAGCTACACAATAAATGTGACTTTGACAAATAAGACATGCCACAACAAGTGTAATTCAGAAGTGCTTATTTTTGAAAGAGCACCTAACAGCACATAAATTTTTTGAGCCAGTGATTTAAATGCATCCTTGCTTTATGTATAATCAATTACAATGGTAGTTCTTTTTTTCCTAAAGTAAAAGGATTAATTCTGTATTTTAGAAAAACCAAAAATGTGTGACATTGCCATACAGCCCATGGTATGAGCCAGTATTCATAAAACAACACAGTACTTTTTGGATCGTTTTTCAGACGACCTGGCATATACAAGTTTACTACACGCTCTCCTTTTGCCCAGTTGTAGCTCTGCTAACTCCTGTGGGAAATGTGGGAAATATAGCTGCTAAATGCTAGTTGGATTTGCAGGTTGAGATGATGCAATGAGATCAGTGAGAGTAAAACTAAACAGTAAAACTGAGGGGACAGAAAACAAAAACAGCTTAGCTGAAATAATTGTACTGAAGATGTCCCTTATATACAACATAGGTGAGCAGTTTGGACTTTTATACATCCATAAATGCTGAGAGCTAAAAACTAATTCTGTCTTTCAACGTCACCACGACACCTTAATTATTAGTGGCAGCATACAGATGGAAATGAGTGAAAACAAAGGCGTATATGGCTTTTTCACAACCTTCAAAGTCAAAAGGGAAATTTCGGCAGACAAACAGTGGCACTGGGAGTCGCTCCAAGGGAAGCAGTGCTTTCCTTACAGCACCAGCACGGAGATCTCTGAAGGATTACATGGACGACTGTCAACAGGGGGGTACAGAGCTCAGGCTTAAGGAACCAGTGGATTAGAGTACAAGGGCTTGGAGTCTCATGTCCAATCCTAGATAAGACAGCAACTTGGTATATCAGAGGAGGATGCGTTCACGCTGTGAGCGCCAAGATGCAGGGTCACCCTCGCCATTTTATTTACTCCACCCGTTCCTGTGAAGGTCTTCATCACAAGCTGTGAGGACAACAGGAGAATAATGCATTGCCTGTGTTTATAAATATCTGCTCAAAGCAGTTATCAATGCAGTAAAAAACAGGGAAAGGCCAAGCACCTCGTGTCCTCAATAATTCCTTTATAGATGTCTTTAAATCATTACTGGTCACAGCTCTGCACTACTGATGAATGGGTTCAATTTAGAGGAAATCATGAATTTAATTAATTAAAGTAATTAGAGGCGGTGCTCGTCCATACACATGGAGACCTTTTGGCCCTAGGATCTTAGAAGGCTTTTGTTTTAATCACGGCAGGGATGTCAGATAGGAGAGAAGAGAGCTTGAGGACAGTTGGAGGTGTGACAACTCGCCCGCTGCACAGCGATGGGCCAAAGGAGCAGTTTGAGGGCTCATTACAAGCATAAAAAATGTAATGTCAACCCAAGGCCGCAGCTCTTGAATTTACTACTCACCAGTCCTATATCCAGCTGTCATTGTTCCTAATGCTTGAGAGCAGACATCAAGGATGGAACTTTCATCTAATACTGGAGATTAAAAGGGTTTTTCAGTTTAAGGAAAGTTGATTCAAATTACTTTTTGTCATCGTAAGTGTCATATTGATTCTACTTTGCATTGTACATTATAAATCTGCACTTAGATAAACCCGTGCAATGAAATTCAATCCAGCCGCCCTGCTGTAACAGTACTCCATTTTTAGTTAGATGGTAAGTTTATTATTTAGGTAATAGTTAAAGGTGGTGTTGAATTGTTTCTGATTGGGCAGGTGTGCAGTGGTTAGCACTGTTGTCCGGGGCCTTTCTGTGTGGTGTTTGCATGCACTGCCTGTGTGGGTTGTCTTTGGGTACTTTTTCCTACAGACATGCAGCTTAGGTTGACTCTACATTGTCTGTAGGTGTGAGTGGTTGTCTGTGTCAGCCCTGTGATAGACTGGCGACCTGTCCAGGGTGTATACCACCTCTCACCCAGAATGAGCTGGGACTGACTCCAGCCACCCCCGAATGACCCTCTACAGGATAAACGGTATAGATAATGGATGGATATCATAAAAGTAAACTTTATGGCACTTTTGCACTCAATCCCTTCTTACCTATGAGACGCAGGTGTGAATGTGCATGAATATAATCAACGTAATAAACAGAAGCAGCTTTGAATACTCATGAAGACATTGCAGAATTACTGGGCTTAAATGTAAAGTTTTAATACTTTTTTTTTTTTACTGTACAATGCAGTCAGATTTTTGGATTTAGTTTCAAATCTATTTACCTCTAATGAAATAATAACGTACTGTATTTGTAGTTTCACATTCAGCAGCCAGCCCTTCACTTAAAAACATATGTTATAAGATGCGTTCTGTGTCACAGTCCCCAAAATAAACAGATTCGCACTGTGAGTGTGCACTCAGAAATGCATATTGCAGCTGACAGCCGGATACAAGAAGTTGAAGAATACCTGTCTGCTTTTTAGATTATGCCTGCCACATTCATTTTCATTACTGGCAGGTGACAGTTGCTCACCCAAGATACAGAAATGATTAGGAAGCCTGTTTTGTACACAGCTGTGGGGAATAAACAAAAAATGTGAGGATCTGATCCATCACATCAATGAAGATTGACAATTATTGAAGGCGCGCAGACAGGACAAATTGAGCAGCGGCTGACAGCCTCGTGGAGCAGACAGAATCTATTCAAATTTCAGGGTATTCTTCAGGTTTTCTGACGTCCAGCTCACCTGGCTAGTATTACTTGTCAAACTGACATCGTTGTTAAAATAAGGGGCTTGTTTGACAAACAGCCTGTAAGAAACAGCTAAAAAAAAGCATTTAGAACCTGAGTCCATATTGAATGCTAAGTTACAGCTGCACCTTGCTTGGACTGATCTTATCTATCAAGCTGTAATAGAGAGTTAGACATCTCCTGAGGCTCTTTCATACAATCATCCTTTGACCTTGGTGCTCTAAACTACCTGTAATATAAGCTGTCATGACTAAGAGGTGATGATATAATCTGGGTGTCCTTCCACAAGCAGCCTGGTGATAACTTCTCCAACCTCTCCAAGCTTTTTGCCTGTTATACTGTTCACATCCAGGGCCAGAGCCTGTTAATTCTACTTTACAGCCCGAATGCAGGAATCTAATCTTCAATTTCCATGATCACTTCATTCTGTAAAAGCCTGTAAAACACACCTCATGTTTGAAAGTGTGGTATTTTTTACGATCCTTGCTCCAAAGTAAAATATCACCATCTTGTCGTACAGCACTTTCTTCCATATGCTTAAATATAAGCCCAAGCTTGTCCAGCTATGTGCTACTAGCCATTAAAGTGAAATATTCAAGCATAAACCATCTGACTACCTGAAAAAGACACACTCATTGAAAATGATGATGTTACATTTTCAGGGCTTTTCCAACAATGTCTATTGTTGATTATTTCACCGCTGTCAAAAGAGGCTCCTGTAGGCGTCAGCTTTTAAGACCAAAATACTGACACAGTCTGACACACACACACACACACACACACACACAAAAGCAAATAGTGTGTACTATAATGGTTGTTTGTGATAATTTATCAATCTATTATAGGGCTTTTCCTCCTTATTATCAGATGAATATCAGTTCCTTGGTCTAAAATTACTTTGCCTGAGAAACATCTGTAACCATTAAATGTGCCCAGTTGGAGCAACAAGGCTCATTTATACCATGATGAATAGTGTTACTGAAATTGATTGTTACTGATTATGTTTTCTCTATAAAACCTTGAGATGCTTTAATGCCTTACGTTCCAAGCCACAGCTGTCGGATCGAGTCGCATCAACCACATTCAGTCGGTGCATTTAAACAGAAATGCATAAGCAGTGTTGTGTGATGTCTACTTTTCTGCCTTGAAGGGAGAGTGGGAGAGGACAGTACACACAATAACAACACTTGTCATTTGGCAGCAGAGTTCACAGTTGAGTTTGAAAACAAATTTCCTTCTTGTAAGCTGGAAGGAAGTTTTGGGATTTGGGGATGCAAAATGAGTCTTGGGTTTCATAACTTGATTTGTCATGTCAGTTTTTGTCTACACAACATGTCCCTTGTATGTCAATAATTATGTATCTCTAGATTCATTTACACACTGGACCAGGGGTTTTCAGCTGATTGTAACCCAATGACTGTCACTGTGACTAAGAAGCAACCTGAGGGCCACTGCTGTGTGGTGGATAGACTGAATGGCCACTATTTTAATCCTGACAGTCACCTTGGCTTTTCTAAATTGAATATATTTGCATTAATTTGACTATTCACAAGCAATAATTAATATTAAGTAAAGTTTATTTATATTTATAGAGCACCTTTCTAGATCAATAGTGCTTCACACAACAGTTTAAAAGAAGGAAATAACATTTTATAAAATGTGATTATTGAATGCATGGTCAGGAAGTACCTGCAGTGTCTTCATGGACCACCAGTGGGCCGCAGACCACTGGTTGGAAACCCCTGCACTAGTCAAATTCCTTCCCTTTCTATCCAACCTCAACCTACTGTTGTTTACTGCCTCGGTTCATTATAGCCAGGGTGTTAGCTCAGTTGTCATATGGCACTGATGTGCCCATTGTATCACACTGACATGAATTTTAATTTGTTTGGACAAAATAATTAATGATTGCTTAATTAACAGAGATCTTACAGGAGAGATGAAGATAAGAAATCTAACAGATGTAATATGTACAGAGTATCTTGCTAAGTCTGTATTGTAGCATCCATCCTGGGTTTGGCTTTAAGGTTAAAACAGATGAACAGATAAGATAAATAAGACAAAAACAAAGGAGATTGTGTACATGCGTATGAGCTTTGAACCCTCTGAAATTTTATTAATTTATTGCTTATTTAACAGAGATCTTACAGGAGAGATGAAGATAAGAAATCTAACAGATGTAATATGTACAGAGTATCTTGCTAAGTCTGTATTGTAGCATCCATCCTGGGTTTGGCTTTAAGGTTAAAACAGATGAACAGATAAGATAAATAAGACAAAAACAAAGGAGATTGTGTACATGCGTATGAGCTTTGAACCCTCTGAAATTTTATTAATTTATTAATTGGTGGTTTTTCAAATTAAGATGTTTTTAATTGGCTTGCTTAGATTTTGCCTTGTAAGAACCCTTTAGCTTAGTAACAGCTTACATGTCAAATATGTAAATTAAAGGGAAGGTTGTTTATCCCTTAAATTATACCAGCATTGTCATTTAAGAGCATTTCAATTTAAAATGTCTTTTGAAATCAATGGAGAAGTTCTGGAATTATTAGTTACAGTTCATGTACCTTTATAAAGACTGTAATTAAGGTGTTTGGTGGGTTTTCAAGGGTAAATTTGTGTAATATGGATTTGAAGCTCATTATATCCTGTTTGGATTTATAATTAGATTCATTTAAAAAAAATCCTTTTCAGTAGAATGTATTCATCCAATCTGGAAAGTAAATACTAAATACATTAAACAAGAACATCTCCCTTTCATTAGTGCAGAACAGAGCCTCATAAACAAACAACACTTAAAATATTTGTGCCACAAGACTGCAATCATGCCTCTTGTCTTCAGATATTATTTGGTTTTCACAGTAATAATTTCCCTTCTGCAGCTCAACATCTTCTCCAGAGCAGTTTGTGGACCCTAATTCTGAAACTAAATGGTTTACCATCTGTGCATGTTAGCAGAGATTCTTACCAGGAAATAAAATAATAAATTGTTGTAAAAATGAAAGAATGGAATCAAACAAAGTTTTCCCAACTGTCTTTTTTCTAAAACTATCATAAAATTCTCAAAACAGAGAATTTATTTGAGCCTAGTTAATACAGCACAATGATACAGTGTCCTTTTATGACATCGCTGGAGGACAAATTCAAACTCTTTGACTCTTCTAAAACCAAAAAAGTTGCAGTTATAGGATCAGTATGATGTGAAATACCTAATCATGTAGCTTTGTGTTTTAGTGGTGGGGGTGAAGAGCCTCTTTAACATGCACAGATGGGCTGCGGAACCGGTTTGGCTGCTGAATTTGAATCAACAGATTGAAGTTATTGGAAAAGAAGCTGCTAACTGATGTGTGGGAGACAAATAGAGAGAGTGGCAACAAAGTGATCTCTAAAGGCTAGGAGTTGCACTTAGATCCTGTTGCAGCATCGCTGTAAATGATGGCAAAATGTTTTGTCACAGAACATGTTAGATCTTTTGGTGTTATTGAAAGTTTCAGTGAGAAACTGCTTTTCTAAAATAAAAATAAAAACTCAGTACAAAACTAAAGTAAACACCAGTTCTAAAAAAGGAAGACAGTGTAATGACTTATGACTAATGAGATTATTTACTGCCATAAAAGTTGCATTCCCATTGCCTGCTCCCTTTTTTCTTTCAACTAGAATTGGTCACACGCTCAGTGGATATGATGATTATTTCCACATTTAGCTCGATATGACTTGGCTTCTGGATGTTGTCTTAGAAACTAATGAAGGTGCTGTCTATCCACAGGAACCATGGTAGTGCAAGTGGCAGCCCCAGATGCAGGTACATATGGGAACAGTGCCAGGGTGGTCTACAGCATCATCCACGGACAGCCATACTTCTCAGTGGAGCCCAAGACAGGTACGACATCTGCCGAATAAGGCGGTGATGATCCCAGCCGACACTGGGCAAGAGGCAGAGTACACGCTGGATGGGTTGCCGGTCTATCACAGGGCTGACACACAGAGACAGACAGCCATTCACACTCACATTCACACCTAAAGTATAGCTAATTTGAATTCACCGAATAAACTAACCTGGACTGTGAGAGGAAGCCAGAGTTCCCATGCATGATGAATACTCCACTGGCCAGGTTCAACTATGCGGCTGGGATGTGTGCTATGCTAGTGGTGGCTAGTGGCTAATGCCTCAAGCAGAACCGGTTCTTTTCAGCCCCAAATAACATCCCTTGAAACATTTAATCAGATTTTGTAAAATTCCCTTCAAAATATAGGAGCAATGAAATGTAAAGCACATGGCGTTTACCTGTCATATAAATAAAATCACATTGCCTTTACTATATAACTTTACAAACAATTTTAACAATAACAAACTGAAGCACTGAGAGGCATATTTACTAAAGAATTATGGCTCATTTTCTGGCGCTAGCCAGTAAAATTGTTTGTTCATATGTACTAAGGAGTCGCGGTGTGGTTTTGTGTTGGAGAATCAATTTGCGTGTTGGATGTCATGCCATGTATTTTAAGGCATTCAGGGAGAAAAAAAATCAGGGAAGAGAGAATGGAAATCTATACAGATACCCTCAGCACCTGATTTACCACCACTGTGACATAGCAAACTGCAGCTGAGATTTAACACCAGAGGGAAGCAGGTGTAGCAATTGCATCCCTGGGTGGCAGCTGTTAGTTACCTGAGACTTAATGTTTGAGGGGGAAGAGGGTGTTTGTAAATCCCATCACTCACCAGAGGAGAACATGAGGGACACTTACAGGCTTTCAGGTCAAACCATGCTTCAATTACTGAACGAAATAAAAGATGATTTAACGGTAGCCTACGTGGTTCAAGTTCAGAAATATGTTTTCTGATTTCTTCAACCATATTAAAATTCAGTCTTTTACACTTCCTCTTGGGCCACATGTTGCTCAACAGCCTTCAGGCAGCAGATCCAAAGCAGAGGTATGTTCAGATTAGCACAGCTGTGGCTTTGTTCATTTACATCATCATTGTTGGTAAATAGGCCTCTAAATAAAAACATTGCGGTGCCACAATATTTTCGGCACCTGATGGTAATTTGCAACAGGTTTTAGGAAATATCCCCCTGAGTTTCACAGTATCAATCACTTGGTGCAATAAAGATATAATGGTAATCAAATTAGAAAACAATTTTAAAAAGCTAGAGAAAATGACTACAATAAGCTGCAAGATAAATGTCTGTCGACTTGTGGGGCATTTTTATCCTGCAAAGTGCAGCGGCAGCTCTAGCTACATCTTCATCGCCGGCTCATTAGTCACTGCCCTGCTGAGGCTCGGCTACTTCATGCAAAACACTCTCACAAGAAAACAGAAAAATGTGGGCCATCCAATAATATTAGGCTTTGTCCTCTGCTTTGAGAGTAAAAAACACATGGAAGAATTTTACCAATGTAGTTCTAATTCATGAACTGGTACAATCATGTGCAGTGTAGAGATTTATGTCATTTATTTGCCACACTCATGCAGATGCAAAAATAAGAGGGATGTTCAATTACAAAGACTGACCTGTAAGGTTCCTTGTAAACATTTATTAAGACTAACCAGCAGAAGAAAATGGATCATTCAGGGACAATGAAGGCACCGTATATCACATAACTTCATAGTGTGTTGGCATTAGGGAAGTGTTGTCAGAGGAGAAAAGATGAGTCAAAGTGCACTTAGCTGTGAAGTCTGCACACTATCATAAAAGTTCTATGTTATTTTTCACTTTCTAGAGAGCCTTGACTAATGAAGCCTCCCACTGAAGCTTTCATTAGGCAACATTTCCATGTTACTCTGTTTTGGGATGAACATCTACATGTTTAACTGTAAATGAAAAAGTTCCTCTTGGATACATTTTAAGCTTTGACAGTTCCACTGAGACTTGTCTAAGGGTGTACATCTTTGATTTTAAGTAAAAGATTCCTCATGGGTGGCTTAGAAGCTAAAATTTTGTGGGCTAATTAATGTGTTAAAATACTGTGAACATCTTCCGTAAGATTTGGAACTTGTGATATTGTACCTCAGTGTTTTTCCATTTCTTCTTGATCAAGTGTTTGATATCTGTGGGTGTTGGTTGATCTGGTCCTTTTGCTGAAGCCAAAAACTGTCTGGTAAATTGAACAGATTAAACCAAATTTAGCCTAAGATTATCCTTATCATATTATATATTATAGTATTATAATAACTTATTATAATATTCAAACCAAATTTCCAGTGACATGCTGCTTGATGTGCAGTATATGCATATCATCAATCTTGATTAAATAGCTAATGCATCCAATTTATTTGGAAAAATACACTTCTAGTGCTGGTCTCTACTGGCAGGACAAGCTAACACTTATAAAGAAGTACAAAACTGTCAACTACAGCTATATATTACAATTATATATTTTATACTCTACCTCGGCACAGTGGCTAGCGCTGTCACCTCACAGCAAGAAGGTTCCAGGTTTGAGTGCCGACCAAGTCCAAAGACATGGCGCCTCCAAATTGCCCGTGGGGGTTAGTGTGAGCGTGTGTGGTTGTTTGTCTACATGTCAGCCCTGTGATAGACTGGCAACCTGTCCAGGGTGGACCCCGCCTCGTGCCCAATGTCAGCTGGGATTGGCTCCAGCCCCCCTGTGACCCTGTTCAGGATAAGTGGATGGATGGATATTCTACTTTTCTTATTCCTTAAACCTGCACTAATTTATGTTTTGGCCACGTGGGGGCAACACACCAAGCTCATTTACACATTGTCACCTTAAAAAGATGCTAAGGCTAACATGTTAGCAAACAATTGGCAAGAGGGAACAGCTGTGCTTCTCACTGAAAATACAGCTGGATGTTCTGCTTTAAAAAAAAACTGTTCTCCACAACAAGGTCAAGAAGAAAGGCAGCACTCCATAGAAACATACAGCAAAAAATCACCTCACGTATCAGTCATAAAGATGAATTTATTTATAATGGGCCGACAAAACTAATGATGCATTTCAGCATGAAGCCGTCTGCAGAGCGTGTGACAGTGAGCTCTCTCCTCACAAAGGACACATTATGTGATCACCAATCAACAGAAACACTTGCACCTGTACACATCAGTGTAAATCCTCCACTTCCACACCCTCACCGAGGTAACACCTACACCCACTAGTTCCGCATTGACAACAATGTTCAGAAACACCAATAAAGCCAGGTTAAGTAGTTTTCAAGGACCATTTGGCAACCTCAAAGAAATATGCACTAATACAGTATGTACATAAAACTGTACCTAAAAGATTTAAAAGTAAATGAGTCATATAGATTGTGTGGGGCCATTGCGTTTATCTATCCACAGCATTTTGTTTTGTGAGGTCCCCAACATGCAACAGAGACTGCTTCCCAAGTCTCCTAAATGGGCCCATGTTTCCCTGACTTGTCTTTTCATTGCATCTCATTGCCACCCATGTAAGATGCAAGGAGAGAGGAATTAAGGAAACGGGTTTGTAGAGACATGACACATGCTTTCCTTCAATCCTTCATCTGAAGTGTCCACGCACCAACTGATTTTCGATAAAGGGGCATTCCGTGAAGGATTCTTTGATGTATCCTTGGACATGGCTCCTTCAGCAGCCTCCTTGCTCCATGTTCCTCAGTTGTCAGAGTAGATATAAGAGTCCTAAAACAACCTCAATCCTCACTCAACCAGAAGGAATTCTGGGTTGAGTGAGGATCAAAGGCAGAGGATGGATCATATAAGAGACATACAAAGCAGCCAGTGACACCTGTTCAAGGCCAACAAACCACAAGGATGAAGGTGGACCACGATCGGTAAAGAGAGCGCTCACTATTGTCACATGTGTTGAGAAAAAGGTTTGTGTTTTGGCCCCATTGATAAATGTAGATTTAGCTTTGGTCTCCAACAACTCCTGAGGGGTCTGGCTCTTTCGCTGCTGAATGATACATGATGTTCACCTGCTACTTGTTAACATTGCCTGAGAATTATTTGCTGGTTGACAGAGCTTTCTCGCTAAAAACAGGTGTTAGATGGGGAGACAGACCCACTTGTATAAAATAAATCTTTTTAGCAACTTTCGACACCTCCTCTTTTTATTATTGCACAGATCAAACCTGTGAATCCAACTGTGTCTTGGCTTATGCCCCATAGAAAAGGAATGGACTTGAGTTTTACAACTCATAGCACTTCTCACTGCTAGGTGGTAGAATGGTTCTGCTAATGGGTGGTTTGATTCCTGGCCTCGTCCATCCTCATGTTCGGATGTCATTGAACCCTTAATTCCTCCAGATGTATACAGTATAGGAATGAGAAAATGAAAGTCAGTTTTCAAAAAAGGTATCTAAAAGTGACTTTTAGGTTTAAATGTGGAAAGTGACTTAGTGTAGCAGATAAATCCCACTTTGGTACTCTTTCTCTAGGACAATGGCTGGTTTATTAACCTGTCAAACAAGCCCACACACATACCTTAAAGATTCCAGAGACAGCCTTTGGGCCCCTGCCAACGCCCCGGCTCTCTCTGCCTGACCACAACTCATATTACTTGCCTCTGTTTCCAGGTGATTGGATCTCATGGTTATGAGATGCAGTATTTTTGTCAGCACTGAATAGCGTGGATGGCCATCAGAGAGCTGTGACTCTATGTGGGATCTGATGCAGGAAAGCATGAAGCATGAAGTCATGTTTTCCTGCTTGACAGGGGTAACCTTAATAACAACCTAGTGTAAAAAGATAGCTTATAGAGGAGTAGTGGGGGATATCCCACAGGCCTCTATACAACAGCAGTATTGTTAATGTCTAGAAGTCTCTATAGGTTTGTAGAAATTTCTTTTTTCATTCTTTCCCTTTAATTGCTCTTTGAAAAGTATGAAACATAACTTTAATTGAGAAAAATATTACAACGTGTTCGCTGTTC